AAAAATATGTAAAGATGTACAAGTTAGAGAACACAACCTAAAAATCAATTAGAAGGCTATCAATCTGCTTACTTCATACAAATGCTAAAAAACCCCAGCATTTTTAGGTGATTTTCATAGCAGCAATATCATCATAGGAAATCTTATCAAGATCAACAGCTCCTGTCCCTGGGCACAGTCCTCTTTTGACAAATATATGGCAGCCCAACCTAGTTACGACAGATCAGCATCCCTGGAGTTAGGTAGAAGAAAATGAGTCATGCCCAAGTTGCGTGGGCTCAGCTTTGCAGAATCGGGTAGGAGGTCCTCAGAAAAGCAGATCTGTCTTCAGAAAGCTTATAGCTGAAAGGGCAACACAAAAACCTGCTGATGGAGAGATGACAGAGCTCCAGCATTCAGGGAGCAACACTGGGGGTATAAAGAAAAGGTCTGCTATATACTACTACTCTAACACAAGGGAAAAAAAAAACCAGCTAAATAAGCTGTCTAAATCAAAACACTAAGACTGAATCCTCAGAAGAGGTGAAGGAAAAACCTCACAGGACACCAGAAGGTGCAGAACACGCTGGCAGAAGCACTAAGAGTTACAATCAAAACACTGGAAGGCTGCGGGGCAAAAAAACTCAGCTAAGAACAAAGAAAGTTACAAGTGCTTGCTGTCTTATCTCTGAGTGGGAGTACAATGCCACTAAGCTACATAAAGGCCAGGAATTTTCCGGGTTAATTGTTTTTTAATATTTGTTTCAAAACTGTCTACAAATCCAGCCATTCACAGCTTTTTTAACTGTATCTCATAGTTATGCAACTGCTGAATGAGCTATCAAAGCACAGATCTCTCCTGAATTTCTTCTATTCTTCATCACTAAAAATAAATAAACATGCTAAGAAATTAAAAATTTAATTTTACTGAGAAACTCATTCTCTTTCAAAGACAGATGACTGCATTGAGATGCTATCAAAAAGTAAATGACAGCTTGAAGTTAACACCCTTTAGAGGAGACAGGACTAGAAATTTCGGTCCTCCCACCAGAAATAGTAAAACCAGATTACAAGGAGCTTTTCTAGAGACAAACAAAAGAAATGGAATTGCAAAAAACAAACAAAAAACCACAAACCTGTAATTCTGAGTCTCCATAACTAGAGAAATCTACTAGTAATTTACTAAGAAAGCAAGGGAAATCTCATAGCTCACAAACTTTTAAGACAAGTGCATGCCAAACTAGTCATGCAAAAGCATTTTGCTATGTGCCCAAATTCACCATCCTCTTTGTATTAGCTCACCATACAATGAAGTCTCACACACAACCACCAAATTCCAAATGCCTTATTCAAGCCCCAAAAAGGTCACTGATGCAGTTTCACAGTCACCTTAGTGATAAAATTCTATGAACAGCTCTGTTCAGACTATCACTAGGTGCCATCACAGGAAGCAGACCATCCTTGTTCCCCTCTCCTGACACCATGGTTGGTCCTCCCTCTTCTTTGCACTGGTGCTAGGCTTAAAGTAAGTCAGGGAAGATTTCTGATAAGAAATTCATAGTTTTACCTGTTGCCTTTGGTTCTTGTCACATTCCTGCAAGCCAAAGAACAGACAGTGCTCATCACAACATTGGGCAAGTCAGGCAGTACAGAGCAGAAAGGGAGCATGAAATTCCTTCCCTCCTGGTGGGTTTCCAGTAGTGAGATCAGCATGCCTACTCCTACTAGCTCTCTTCTGGTAACAATATTGCCTGCATGACCAGCTGGGGTCAATCCAGAGAAAAAAGCCCCACTTAAACAGCCACCCACATCAGAACAACTAAAGCCAACTGTAGAGTTGCAGCTAAAAACAAATCTTCCAGAAACCTTCACTTCTCAAATGCCAAAGTCTGATTAATTTGAAGAGCTCAGAGTGTTAATATGATGGCTAAGTTTCAGAATAGAAATGTAATTAAAAGAAAAATCTTTTAATTACTTTAAAAAAAGGTTACATTATGTTGCCTATTGTTCCTTCAATGCAGTGCTGTAGTTAAAACTGGTCTCAAATATTTTAAGACATAATTAGAGAGAAATTTATTAACCAAATACAGGTGCAGGTTCTCTGTCCCACCCAAAGGCAGCCAAGTCAATCCATGATCATGGATTAAATTTAAACATGAAAAGAATTCAGAATTATCCAGAATTACAAAGCAACTTAAAATTGGGTGAATGTGAAAACCCAGTGCTATTTTCAAGCTTAGCACAGAAGGTTCCTTAAAACCTTCTACAAAATTAAGCAGTGAACAAGCAGAGCTGGAGTGAACAGCAAACAGCCTCATGGTGTTCCCTCCAAGCGAGACACAGTTCTGTTGGTCCAATTTTCATAATCATGACTAAATACCTTCAAGCACAGTGTCACATTACATACTCAGCTGTCATTTAAAAATACTGTTAAAAAGGCACACACACACAGGAAAGACAACAGTAATGATAGTCTATATACTCATTTAAGTAAATACCTGAATATCTGATAAAATATGGCAAAAACAGAATCACAGGCTCTCACCTAGTCCTAAAACTCAACACACATCCCTTTTCTGTCAAACATCTAGATTATCTTTGCCAGCTTCTTCTCTAAGCCAATAAAAACCTCTGATAGTGGGAACCTGCTTAACAATTTACGCAATTTGACTGTTATAGGTAAAAACTTTCCAGCCTATATTTAATAAATCACACCCACTGAAATTTACTTCCTCTTAACTTACATCTCAACCACCGGGAAAAAAAAAAAAACACAGAAAAAAAAGCATGAAAAAACTCCCAGTGCTTCCATGAACCATTTCTTACATACCCATTCCACAGCCTTTTCCACCACATCAAAATAATGCAATACTTTAATAAAATTTAAAAAATTAATTCATAGGTTCTGAACCTCTCAAGCCACAAGATTTAATACTCAAAACTAGACACAAAAGTGCAATCAAAAAGGAAAAAAAAAGAAAAAAAAAAAGCCTTCTGTACTATAGGCTCAATCAATATATCCAAGGATGGCATCTTTTGCCAGCCATTCAGATCAATTTGTGACTAGTAGTCCTGAATTACTTCCTAAGCTCAGTTTCCCAAACATCTCTATCTGAGCATCCCATAGCCTCTTCCTGGTGCAGCATTTTATGTTTAGCAGCTTTTTATCTTTTGGATTGTACTTCTCGAACAAGTGAAAATTAGCGAATTAAACTTGATTCTCTTGTTCACCAGACGAGTGCTGGCATTCTTTCCTAACTCAGCAGCACATCTGCAACTTTCACCTTTTAAGAAAAAGATAATATAACTAAAATCATCCTCTGAAAAAGTAATCTTTTTCCAAATGCTCAAGAGTTCTTCCACCTTTGCAAAAAGTAACTTGGGAAAGTAACTATTTGACAGTTAGATAGGCAAACAACCTCCATGACAAATTGAACCATGTATTTATTAAGTGGATGAACACAGAACTATGCTGAAACCTCCTAAAATTTAAAACTGTTTGTAACATGGCTTTTAAGCATATGTATTTTCCAGACCATATTGTCATGTAACACAATAAATCCACGTAGAGCATGTTAGATTTCTCAAATAATTGTATTTCTTCTTCACCAGAGTCACTACTAAGTGGGAGAGAACACAGCTGATAGGCATCTCAGTACCTTTACAGTCCATAAAACATTAAAAAAATGTGGTTTTTTCCATACAGACTGACACATCAAAATTGATTAAGCAGAAAATGTAGACAGCATCAGCAGTATTCATAGTAAGAACCACTTAATACCACCTACAACCAGATCAATCACAATCAAAAAACACAAAGGGAGAGAGCTGTTCTGATACAGCACTTCCACAACACCCCTGGGAGGTACAACTGCAGCTCCACAGACTGCGGATATTCCAACTTCCTTAGTTCATACAGCAAGCCAACAGACTGGACAATTCACATTGCAGAAACGTCGCGGCCCCAAACAGGACCGCTAGATCTCTGCTTTGGAGTTATTTCATGACTACCGCTGAAGTTTCATTAATTCTAATTAAAATTCTTGTCTTTAAGGTGTTGGGCTGAGAAGAAACCCGGTATGTGTCATCAGCTGAAGTTCAACACTTTCACTTCAGGGTGTCAATACTATTTCAAACAACATCAAAAGTTTTTCTCTGAGAAACGTACACTACTTTGATTCTGAAGGGATATGGGTTTTGTCGTTTTGTCCACTTCCATGTTCTTCCTTTTAATTACGGAGCTTTTTGAAAAGCATATTATGAGACTGGACAAACTTCTAAATGTTTCCGAGAATTTCCTAACATACAAATCCCATTTTCTTAAGTGAACTGTCTAAAGGCAATAAAGTTCCTCCTGTTCATTAAAAGATAGATTCAGAACGCGTATAAGCAATTCAGAGCCATCAAAGCCGGCTGAAATTAGATTACTTAAATGTTTCAGTAGAACCGCTAGTTCCAATTGCAGGCATTCCCAATTGCCCTAAGTACGGTAATGTGACTTTTCTTTAAAGAATTAAGTGAAGGCTGGAACGCCTTCCCCTTTCCCGGAGAGCTGAACGCCCCTGGGGGCAGGGACGGACACCTCTGCCTTCGCAGGAGCCGTGCAGCGACACAGCGGGACCGGCGAGCTGCGTGTGCCGGCTCCCCGCCGGAGGCCGCCCCGCGGGTGCGGCGCCGGGGCGGGCGCGCTCGGCCGCGGCTGGCGGCGCCCCGGACACCCGCACGGGCGGCACCGCGGGAGCCGACGCGGAAGCGGCGGCTCCGGATCTCGACAATATCGCTATTCAACAGGATCCTGCACACATCCTGCGGCGGGCTCCTTCCCGGGAAGGGCCGCGCCGGGCAGTACCGCAGCGCCGCCGCCGCAGCCGGACCCCCTGCAGACCGGCCCGGCGCCCTCTGCAGAGCCGCACCGCGCCCGGCCCCGCGGCGGCGGGAGGCGGCTCGGAGGCGCCCGGGAGAGCGGCGTCCCACCCCTCCACCGACAGCCCGCCCGCCTGCGGGACGCGCGGGGCCGTTACCTGTCACCGGCTCCGCCGCAGAGCCGGCCGCGCCTCCCCGTCCTCCCCGCCGGCCGCCGCCGCCGTCCGCAGCCTCCAGCTCGCACCCCGCGGCGGCGGCGGGCAGGAGCAGCCCCAGCAGGAGCAGGCAGGTCGGCACCGGCCGCACGCCGGGCGCTCGGAGCCCGCTCATCGGTACCGCCGCTGCCGCGGAGCGAAGGCAGGAACACAAGGACGGACGGAAGGAACGCAGGGCTGGAGCTCCGCGCTGCGCCGCTGCCGCTCCGGCGGCACCAACCCGCTGCGCGCCGGCTCCGCGCCGCCTCCCGCCGCTTCCGGCGGCCCCCGCGCCGCCGGGCGACACGTCACCGCGCGGTGACGTCACCGGGATGGGGGCGGTGAGCGGCGCGTGGATCTGGTCCCGCTCCCCGGACACCGCGGCCCGACGGGACCGGACTGGACCGGACTGGACTGGACTAGACTAGACTAGACTAGACTAGGCAGGGCAGTACAGGACAGGACAGGATCGGGCAGGACCGGACCGGCGGCAGCCGCAGGTGCCGGTACCGCGCCCGGGCCGCCTGCATCGCGGGGCGCCGGGGCTCTCAGGTGGCGCTGCGGGGAGCAGCCGTCCCGCGGCGGCCCTCGGGGGCCCGCCCGGCTCCCCCGGGCCCCCCGGCGTGTCCCGGAACCCCTCAGACGCAGACCGGCCGGGCCGGATCCAGGGAAGGCACAACGTGAAAATAAGATGTTTTAGCTACAGGAAAAACCTTGGACTTTGTTAAACTTGCCCTTGTCGCACCGCCGGTGCATACACCTGAGGAGAGCTTTCTGAAGTTTAGGTTCGGTGTGTACTACAGCACTGTCAAAACATCAACAAAACGAGAAAAGGAAAAGTTTAAAATCTGATCTCACACAACTGAAACCAGGAAAACTAAGTCTTCACTAAAATTTAACCATGATTTCATTGTGCTTAAAATCTTGACCAAAAAACCCACCACTTTTGCTTATGATGTTTCCATCAAGCCACTGAATGGCAGTAAAGTCTGTGCTTTGTCCTGTCCAAACCTGTGGTACTTTACAGTATTCCGTTTAGAGCCATTTAACGAGAATAACACAGCCTTTAAAGACCAAATTCAATCTAGTATCTTAGATACACAGTACGTGAGAAAATAGTGCAACACAGACGCTAAAAGCCATATAAGCATTACATTTTCTATTAACTATTGCAATTACCTAAGAAATAACAGAAGAGGAGTTGCAAGAACCTTGAGAAAAGCCTTTGCCTGCTATGTACACCCTGCAGGAGACAGGAGCACGAAAAGGAGTTGTACAAGCTCTTCTGCGGGTCAGCAAAATCTGGAAAGCTAACGGTGAAATCATTACAGTACTATTAAATGCAGCAGGACACAATTTATCTACTAATATAGTGGGCATGCAAACTCCAACCCAGTTGAAACATTTTTATGGGGGAAAAACACCAAAACTTTCAAGTAATCATATAGCATATAAAGATTTGGAAAATGTTTCCAAACCTGATGAACTCTGATTGAATTGTGAAGTCTGTGCATAGCGTTATCATTTCTGCTGGTGAATAGAACAGCTTTTAAAGACCAACAGTATCTGACCAGATCTTGTGCAAAGAGAACAATGAAAAGCCTGCATCTTAAGAAAGCTTGTTCAGTGTTGTTTAACTTTAGGGAGGGGAGCTGGAGCACAGTAAATTTCCCAGATGGAAACAAAGAAGCTGGCTGTTAATTTAATTAATTAGTTAATGTTATATTACAAAGAGAGGAATGCATAAAGGGTACATGAAAGATTCAAGTTTCCTGGACAAGTGTGAACTCTTTTAACTGAGAGTTAGTGAGGTCAAAAGATCCAGACTGCACAAGTACTTACTGTAAAGAAAAGCCTATTCTGCATCAGAATAGCTGTGAGATGGGGACACTTCAAGAAAAACTATGTGGGGCTGAAATAATAAATGATCCTTACTAAAAGTCCTCTTTCAGTATTGGTTCATTCTCACCTCCTGCATCTAACTACAAGTCCCCAAATCATTAAGCATGGAATGGACTGTTTTCAAGCAATATCTATGTTCTGGAGTTGGGGGGATGTCACTGCTGGTCAGGACACCATAGCAGATCTCGCAATGATAAGCTTCTTAGCTGTAAATGTCTCATGAGAAAAATGTATGACCTCTAGAGTTCCTCTAGTCTAACTCCTGATGTGGTTCCTTTGGGGGAACTCCCCGGGGAGTCCCCCGAGGGCCCCCTAGGCTGTGAGTTGGCTGGCAGCAGCAGGTGGGCAAGGAGAGTCCACACGGCTTTGAGGGTGCTGATTAGATGAGGGTTTATTGGGGGTCCCACCACCGGGAGCAGCATGGTTACTGAGGGGGAAGGGGAAAAGGAGGAGGGAGGGGGAGAGAGGCAGAGCCTGGGGAAGATGGTATTAAACTGCTGAATCATAATCGCTGTTGGGTTTATGCTGTACTCAGTAGGTTCTGAAGGTGACTGATAACCTAAAATGGTGTCTGGGAATGTATTTTGATGGTTTTTGTGGTGAATGATCCCTGAGTATAGGTAATAGCTGAAGCCAAATTTCCTTTCTTTCTTTTTTTCTTTTAATGACCTAAAACCAGGGGTTTTCTGGGTTAAACCGGTTGGAAGGTGAAAGCAGCGGTAAAGCTCAGATCCAAGAGTGAGAATCTGAGGCCGCAAACCTGCTTGGAGTCCAGGGGGCTCCAGGGGCTTCCCTGTGCCTTAGGAGGGGGAGCAGAATTCGGCACCTCAGCCTAAAACTGGGGGCTGTGGTGGTCCAAAAAGCCAGTTGGAAAAGGTTAGACACCACTGGGCCAGTCACACTGAAAAGGCCAATCCCAAAACTCTCATATGACCACAGTGCCAAAGGCTGAAGCCCTTTAAGCGCTCACCCATGCTTTAAATTCATTTAAAATATGGAATATGGACCCACATTACCCGTTTTTACAATTAAATGCTCATTTCATCTTTGCTGCCTACCACCAAAAGCAAACATCAAGTCAAATGGACTGTTTAAAACATAATCCTCACTGCAGTGGTATTTATTTTGATGCTACAAAACTCTATAATTACTGCTTCATTTTTAAAATTGTTAATTGTTTTAATTCTCTTTATCTTTTCTTTCTAATGGAAAAAGGGTGATATGTGGTGTTGCATTTTAGTTAAATGGTATGCTCTGTCTCCCCCCACAAAAATGTACTGTTTATTCCAAGCTGTGAACCTTCCCTGAAGTCTCATGTATCTGTAATCCCATTGGCCCAAGTCTTACTCCATGCCCACTTTGGATCTCCTTGTTAAGCTGTGTGAGGGAGACCAGGTGCTCTCTTGGCCCTTTTCTCCCCTAGGCTCTCCCTCTCTCCCCCTCCCTCCCCCTTTCCCCCTTCCCCCTCAGTAACCATGCTGCTCCCGGGGATGGGACCCCCAATAAACCCTCATCAATCAGCACCCTCAGAAGCCGTGTGGAGTCTCCTTGCCTGCCGGCTGCTCCCAGCAAACACTCAGCTTAGGGGGCCCTCTGGGGACTCTCCAGGGAGCCCCCTTAGATGAATCTCAACAAACTCCCTTACTCAATCCTGAGGAACATCACTCATAACCAGACGCCAGTTTCATGTTAGACTGGGGACCACTACTCTTTAAGTAGAGTGGTTCAGACTGCCATCCATCTCGTGTACTTACCCAGTCCCTACTGGATTGCAAAGATGCTGTGGATGTCACATCAAAAGACCAGTATGTGCTGCTCTTATCACTTCAGTCATAGAGCCACCTCTTTCATGACCGAAGGCAATTGTGTTGGTGGAACTGTGCTGGTTTTCTGAATTCATCCATTATCATCCCAGAAATGGCTTCCAGAAACATTTCCTTCATTATCTCCTCTGAGATACATAGTAAAGATGACTGCTCTGCAGTTTCCTGCACCTTGCTTTGATAATGGATGTGACACTTGCTTTTTTCCAATACCTGGAAATCCCATCTGATTGCCACACCCTTTAGAAGGTGATATAAAGCAGCACAATGAAGTTAATCACCCTCCTCAGCACCTTTACAAACACCTCCTGTTCCTTCCTAAGGACTTGCAAACAGATAATTTCCTAAATTTCCAGAAGTCTCCTTCTCAAAACCTTGCAAAATTAGGCACAGGGCTCTGTGAACCCTAAGGGTTGACCTCAATAATAAATGACAAGGGTAAGAGGGCTTTGAACATCTCAGCCTTTTCACATTACTTCATCGCAAGTGACCGGCCACATCCCTCAGGGGCAATCTATGGGTTTTGGATATGCTTCCTTTTTAGACTCTTGTCACTATGTCTGCATGTAGAAGGCTTGCCAAGGGGAACACAAAACTGCCACAACATGCCTTCCTCTACAGCTTTTTCCTTGGAGCCAGCCCTAGCACAAGGCTGCGTTTACTGCCTAGGGTTTGGGTTTTGAAAACCACAAAGCCCAGGGCTCCAGACACACTGCAGCTGCAAAGGGCATCCCAAGGGGAATAAAAAACTGCCACAACATGCCTTCCTTCACAGCTTTTTCCCTGCAACCTGCCCTAGCCCTAAGCTGCTTTTCCTGCCTAGGGTTAGGATTTTGAAAACAACAAAACCCTGAGCTCCAGGCACTCTGCAGCTGCAAAAGGCATCCCAAGGGGAAACACAAAACTGCCACAACATGCCTTCCTTCACAGCTTTTTCCCTGGGGCCAGCCTTAGCCCATGTCTGCTTTTACTGGCTACGGTTACGGTTAGAGCTAAGGTTAGGGTTTTGAAAACCACAAAGCCCAGAGATCCAGTCCCCTTGCAGCTGCAAAAGGCATGCCAAGGGGAACACAAAACTGCCAAAAGTTCTTTCCCTCCATAGCTTTTTCCCTGGGACCTGCCTTAGCCCAAGGCTGCTTTTACTGCCTAGGGTTAGGGTTTTGAAAACCACAAAAACTAAGCCTAATCGTAACCCCTGTTCTGGAATTCCTTTTGAATGGAGATTTTATGGTAATATCTGGGCGTGGGGTCACTGTATGGAGCACAGACCAGCAAAGAATTCTCACCTTGGAGTATGCTATTAGCATCCAAATTACCCAACCCAGCACATCTGTGTTCAGTTTTGCAAGACACTTTTTCTCTTTTTCTAGAGCCAAGGAGCAATGAAGAAATACTGATCGCTTCCAGAGGTGAGGCAGGATGGAGAGACTGATTACTATAAGGTGCTAAAGGCTACAAAGAAGCCTACCCAATATCTCTGCACTGTTGCCAGCCAAGAGAAACCTAGATGTGAGGAGAACCTCAGAGTTGGTGTGACTTCTCTCCTGTGTA